ACAAATATTGCACAACATTTATGAGTTAATTTTTATTTAAATCTTAAAAGTCTTCTTGATTTGAATCTTCTAATTGGAACTGAGTTATTATCAAATGGCAGATCTTTATGAAGTATAAGTTAAGTGACTGGATAATACATAAACACTAATAAATATACAAGGACACAGAAATAAATCCTCTTAACAGTAATATGGATTAATTTCCACTTCTATGGCCAGTTTATGTAAGAGAAAAACATTACTATATAAACCATAGAAGGATGTATCTGCAGAGAAAAAAATACATCAGATACCTTCTGCTTCCCCAGCAAGAAGAAAGAAACTCCTGCCAGAAGCAGCAAAATGGGTGCTTTAGATAGAAAGACAAAATGAATGAGAAAATGAAAAAGTAAGGAAAGGCTGGTTCAATACAGTAAAACAAATAGAGGCCATGGAAAGCTTTACCAAGGATTGTCACAAGCCAATTATTCACTTTATCGGGTTCACTGGACCACAAACTTCCCCAAATATTTGTGGAATGATTATTAGGTGCTACCTGACAAGCTAAATGCCAGGGTTTTTTTCTTCTTTTTTGCTAAAGATTACCTCATTTTCACATTTCAAAAGTAATACTGCTGGAGATCTGATACTGCTTCATCTCAACCTCAGTGCTGTTCTGACATAAAAACACCTCTAAAAAATGGCAATCTAAAATCTCACTCCTGCTTCCGCTAACTTTGGGATCTCAGGATCAAATTTACAGAGAGGCAAATGTAAAAGACACCTTGCTAATGATCCCAGAGGAAGGACTAGCTACAAACAAGTGTGGATTTTGGGGTATGTTTTAATTATTTGATTCATTTCTTGAGAGTACTAAAGAAGAAATGATATGACAAGCACAAACTGAATTCAGTGAGCATGGCAAACCAGGATAGAAGCTGGCAAGCACAGACTGTGTGCAGGGGGGCACACTGTAATTCAGTTCAGTGCAATTTATCAGATTGACAAACTCTCCAAATGTCACAAAAGTGAAAGAGTAAAGCTAGACCTACAGGTATCTAAGTAGGTGCAATCCAAATCAAATAGCTCAAACTGGGATCCTACATTGATTCCGGATGCAGCACAAGCTGTTACATATTATGCTTGCCATCTCTCTTCCTACTAGGCTCAGGCAGCCTTCCACTCTTGTAGCACCTCATAATTTGAGGTAATGTGCTTTTTTAATCTGTGCATCAGTCTGATCTGTATTGAAATTGATACATAAAGTTCACCTCTGCCTCCTCTTCTCCTGTTACAGCAGGCTCCGATTTCCAGTTTTTATTTCATGTTTAATTACAAAGCACTAAATTAAAATTAAGACAAAGGTGAGTAGAATTTAATAGAGACAAAAAAAAACCCAAACATTCATAGAAAACTCTGTATAATATAGTAGGAGTCTATTAATAATATAGTAGCAGCCTACTAATTTAGCCCAAAGACCTTCTTGGTGCCTATCAGTTTGCTCTGTGCATGCTCACAGCATGACTGCTCCGGTGCCCACCTCTCTTCAGCCTGTCAGCACCCACAGCCATCATCCTTCTGCTTACATCCATAGAGCACTTCTAGGCCATGCTTCATGCACACTAATGGGATTAAGCTCTTTGCAAACGCAGCTGCAATCTTTCTCCCAGTGTAGAGTGAGGGCAGGAAATTGCCCATGCCTTTAAGCAGCAGCACCGCAGAAAGGGGCTGTGCTGATGTTCCCAGCCTGTGCCCTTCACCCTGACCCCCTGGCTACAGGCAAGCCCAGGCTGCATGCCAGCCTACTGAGGGTGATGTACTGCTGGGAGAATCAAAGATGGATTGGGTCTGACAGACAGCAGAAGAAACCTACATCTCATCTACGCTGTAAGGATTGTGGGGCACAGCTCTAGGAGGGTGTCTGCTGCTTCAGTGACTCTGCGTTCCACATGAATAAGTCCACAGAGATCTCGGGAAGCCCGGTGCACAGTGCAAACATTGTGTAAGACCAGTTGTTTTAAAAACAAAACACTTCAGAGATCATTTCTGTTTGAGACATCAAAAAGATCACCAGCTCTGCAAATGAGTGTGCACACACTGTCATCATCAGATATTAGGAAAAGATTTTCCTCCTTGTGAGGGTGATGAGGCCCTGGCACAGGTTGCCTAAAGAAGCTGTGGCTGCCCCATCCCTGGCAGTGTTCAAGGCCAGGTTGGACGGGGCTTGGAGCAACTTGCTCTAGCGGAAAGTGCCCCTGCCCATGGTAAGGCGTTAGAATTGAATGATCTTTAAGGTCCCTTCCAACCCAAACCATTCTGTGATTCTGTGATCAATCACTTCTGCAATTATTCACCAACAGTGCTGATTTTAATCCTGCTCAAATCAACTGCTAACATCCTAAATTCCAGCACTTGACACAGTTTTTGCTGGTTATGGGCTTAGGCTGATACTCTAAACTCGGAATTTTCCCTTTATTGTTACCATAAGAAGCAACAAAATACAGACCTAAATATAAATTTCCATGAGGATTTCAGTAGTTTCTCTGCACAGAAGCCTGAGCTGTGGCACAGTCCAGCAGTAGTTTGCATGAACCAGCACTGAGTGAGCAGAAATGATCCTGCATCTGTACGCCTGATTTTCTCAACTACAGCTAGGATGACTTAGCAGAACAGCCCTGCATGCTTATGCAGCATCGCAGGTCCAGCAATGGTTACAAACACCCTTGCTGACTGAATGAAAGGGTCTTAATTTGTCTCTTAATCAAACTATAATCTGTGATGAACTATTATGAAAATGGACAAACCTTGGGGCTCTGTCTTGATCCCTTTATAATCTAAATATTTGCACCCCTCAGGAGCAGCAGGAGCAAGGTACTTCCTTGATAAACCTCCTAGGTGCCTTTTAGAAAGGGTGCAAGGGGAAAAACAAATCACAAATCTGTAGTGCGACAGATTTGTAACCTTGTGATTTTTTTTTGCCAGAAAACTGTCTGTTCAGTACAGCCTGCCCTCCGTAATTCTTGCAGAGGACATAAATAAATTATTCCTTTTTTGTTTTTTCTCTCTTTAAAGAAACAGCGTACAAGATCCTGAGCATACTAAAGTCAGTGGCAGCTCAGGGTGCTCACTGGAGAAGCAGTGCATGTTTGGAGATCAAGCCTAAGTAAAAAGTGTCTGAGTATGTTAACACAACTGCAGAGAAAAGACAGTTCAAGGCTGAAGTTCATGTGAGGAGACTGGTTGATGTCTCAAGCTGTGAAACTGCACCTCCTCTAACTGAGGGGTTGTAGCAAAATGCTGAATGCCTGTCCTCTACGGCTCTTCCCAAATGTGTTCTCTTGTTCAGCTTCACGTGTCCTCCTGCAAAACCAGCATAAGCAATACAGAAACTGGGCAATCACTAAATCTGTAGTCTTTCATGTTATCTACACAGCGAAAATAGAAATTCTGGGCAATCAGTGTTTTTAGGGGGTTCCAGGTTTTTTTTCTTCCTGGGTATGTAGAAATCAAATTAAGAGAACTCGAACCTTCAGCTGGCTAGAATAAACAAGGAGACCTGGATCATTAGAAAGTCAGCTTCTGTCTTTCCAAACTGGAGAACTGTCATTTAGTGCTCAGACACAACTGTGGCAGTGAGGCTGATTTTTTTTTTCATATTCTGCTGACTCAGGGGTATAGCCGCAGTTGTCAACCTCGTATTTCTACCTAAGACACACAACTGTACATCTCTCTCTCACATTTGAATACATATTGTGTACTGTGAAGTACACAACAAAATCCATCAGGTTAGCTTCAGGTCTCATGTCTCCACTATACAAAGCTCAATCGTGCCTCACAGACACTGCGGTTGCTGTTGTTACTGTGTAACTGCAGAGGCCCTGGTTTGAATCAGTCCTCACCCGGTCAGGTGATAAACACAGAGCTAGAAATAGTCACAGCTCCAGAGGACTCACTATTTATTGCTTTACTCTGGAGCAGTAAAAACTGCTTAAATTACAAATGTTATTCTAGACAAATGGTAGTAAAATCTTCACACCATCTTGTAACATCGCAAATTCCCCACTAGCCAAACACTGCTGAAGAAGCTATTTAGAAATACCTGTGAAACCTGAAACATATTTACTTGAAATATTTCATTCCTCTTCCTGTAAAAGCCAGATGCATTCATTATGACGAACTCTATTTGCCCAAGCTGAGCCTCAGGGCACTGTAATGAAGTAGAGGAAATTTGATTTGAGAAGCAAAAAAAATACTTTGTGCTTACTTGATTTAAAAGAAAAATAAACCCAGCTGTTCGGGTGCTTGGAAAATCTGATGTGTGGGCAAAGCACAGGTGATCCAGCCTACTATTCGTGTCAGCTGCCTTCTTGCACTGCATCCCATGCTCCATCACCATCACTTAACTGGCTGAGGAGGGTTATTTCAGTTGTACATGAATTGTGCCATGGACACACTCTGTATAGCCAAGAGGTTATTAATACAAATTTTATTGGCTCAGGTGCCACGCTGCACAAGCAAGGTTAAACAGCTTCCAGTGTTGGTTCGGATCTGGAAGCAGTTTAGCCACTTTCACATGATCTGGAACATGAAGAATAAGCTCTACTGATCCAAGCCAGATCCACAGACTGTATATCTGGACCATGGTACAAAACCAGGAAAACTCAGAAGTGCAACATCAGCACCTCCAACTTCATGGAGCCGGATTCAGCAAGCTCTTCATCAGGAAGGTCTTTCTTAATCTCATCTGGTGCCACAGAGATGCACTCAAATGTCCAAGTGCAACACTGTCTTGCCATACAGCTCACAAGGAATCCTAAGCACTGGAAAAAAAGCCGAGCAGATCCACCCGAGTGGCTCTTCGAGGAAGGAGCCTCAGAACTCAGCCAATGCTGGTAAACTGTGCTGGATCCACAGTGATTATGCAGAACCAGTCAGGCACCTCTGGAACACAGGAAGCCTCAGGGTGTCCTGTGGCATTCTCCCACCTGCGTGACAGCATTTCAAGTTATCTCAGCTTCAAGTTACTCTGAACAATGAAGCGACTGAACTGTTGTTGTTGTAGAATAAAATACGAAAACCTCAGTACTGGTTATGCAATGAACATAAAGAAATAAAAATTCACGTGCTGTGATACAAAACCATGATCATAATCTGAAACTCACCTCTTCCAAAAACCAAGGCAAGAAGTCTCACAGCATGTCTGGCAAGATAGCAATCCAGTTCCCAGAAGAAACACATGCATTGACTTCCAAAGATAAGACCAAATGGCAAGACGCAGCTCTTAAGAAGGTATAAAGAAAAACTGACTTGCTGTGACTCACATTCAGGAGCACGAAGTCTGACAAACATTTGAAGGTTAGCTGCGCTGAGGTGTGAATCTTGCTGACCCAGGTCCTGCAGTCACACAAACACCTCTTGGTAGCTGGAGTTCAGAAAAGAGATGCTATGCCATGGACTGAAAACGAATTTCAGTAGACAGACCATCAAGCAGCAGTATTTCAACAGAATATTACAGGGGGTTATAAATATATACACATGCACAGGCAAAAGATCTATATATCAAATTACATATAATACAATGTGACTATTCACCAGAAGAAGGCCATCTCCTGTAAACCAAATCTTGCACTGGATTTAACCTTGTCCTACATACTGCATAGATAAAGCAATTCATTTTATTTTTCATACATATTCTAGTCAGTTATTTATACAGTCTGCATAGCATGTAATTTTTAAAGAGAGGCCTTTGGATAATGCAGAAGGCAGAAATACTAGGCTTGTTTCATTTACTGAATATGATTTAAAATGATGTATCAGGATTTTTTTATTGACTTCTATTCAAAATGATCTACCTCTCCATGATTCTGTGATTGGGATACTGTTTAGCAATGGGAATTAAATTCTCAAGCCAACTAAAATCTACTTAGATGTACTTAACCAATTATGCACTGATTAACTCTGGAGCCCCAGCCAGGTATCCAAGGTGACAGAACACTACAAGAACACAGAGGAAACACTGCTGAGACACTGAAGAATGAAGTAGGACGGGATGCTTTAGGAAGGATGAAAGATTTAGGAGACTTAGTCTTGAAAAACATCTACAGGCTCCACTCTGTTTTCCTCATAGCTCTACAGCAAAGAATTGTAGGCACTGAGGTGGAGAGTGACAGATGTCTGATAAACTCCAGTAATACCAGCCTGGCAGTCAGGCACCAAGGGACTTGTTGCCAGTCATTATAAGCTTAAACACCACTGCACTAGTTGCACCAAACCTAAGGCACAAAGGAGCACAGCTAAAATTGTGCTCTTGTGCCAACATATCTGAACAGAAAAATATAAAGACAATATTAGGAGATAATGTTGATATTTAATCTGTGAATATTCCTTGGAATTATCACACAAACAAAGGGAGCACAGGGGATTGGTTCGGGCTCGGAATTAATGACCAAATGAACTAGGAACACTTTAGAAGGGAAAAACTCATACTCTGTGAATAACCATGGTGTGTGCAGATATTTCAGTCACATAGATCTTCTGTGCAACTGTGATGGGACTTTCACAGCTAGACGAAGGAAACGCCAAGTTTTGCAACAGTGATCAAAGAAGGGATATAATGTAATATCCATCTTTATTTGGCTGTCCCTGTATACTTCCAAAGACATCAACCTGAGGACATATTTGCGGGATAGCTTTCCTCCAAATACAGCAGCAGACTACATTCTAGGCTTTAAATATATAAAACGCAGACTGGACACTTCTGCTACAAAGAGTATCATTTATTATTAGAAAGCCCTGGGGAACAAAGCATGTCCCTTGATTAATATTAATTTCTTAAAGCTACCGTTAGAGCTTTGTTAAAAATATCTAAATGAGTACCCCTAAAAACCTCTCAAATGCCAAATGTTAGAAGGTAATTATTGAAGAACTCTATCAGGAGGCTAAATGCTATCAGCAACAATTTAGCTGAACTTGCATTTAAATTGAAGAACATGATTTCTTGGTGTGATTCCACCTGAAGAGAGAAGTTAAGCCTCAGATACATGACAAAAGCTGATTTCAGTAAGCCAGATGAACAGTCCAAAGACAGTTTCATAGTAATAAATGGTAAATACAGCACAGGAATTGAGTATTGAGGTTCCTAGGATTATTTCTCTTCTGCCGTTGTAACTATACTCCTACTATCTACTGACTGCTGCAAGAGTTTTATTTAATTTTTTCAAAACTTACAGTATGCTCCCTTTACCAGCAACCTGTGATTTAATATAGTTCTGTTTAGCATAATACCATTTTCTTCTAACACTCTAAAGTGTCCTAACTTCACAATATTTCATTGCAGATACAGCTTTAGATATGTTCATGCGAGCTAAATTAAACCATTATTCTGGCTCTGGCACGTTGTAAGATACAACAAAGAGCCAGCAGGAGTAGGAGGAAGATGCTGACAAAAAATACCTGTCTAAGCAAATTATTATTAATTATTCTATTGAAGATCTGAAGATCAATCAGCACAATTCACTAGCGAGAAATGACTTTTTTTTTAATTGAAAAGAAAAAAAAGCCCTGTAGTATTTCTCTGCCATTTCTAATTTCTTGCAACAGTTAAGATAAAAGATTGATCTGATCAAATTCACTTATCTTTTTCTTTTTACTAATACACTTTACACTAAAATAGACTTTCCAAACAAAAATTAAGAATTGTCTTTTGTGACAGAGAAATTTCACACAAAAAATACACAGATAAATGATGTGGCAGAGGGGGAAATTCTCACATAAACGAGATCACAGAAGAAGGTCTAGGGGCAAAACAAGGGAGATCTGTATATAGAGATAGTTTAAAATTACCCTTCTTGTCACCTTGATGGGACACTCTGCAAAAGGAATCAACGAGGAGGCAAGTACAGATAACTTCAGGAAAAAACATTCTGTATTTAAGGAAAATCATAGAATCGTTAGGGCTGGAAAGGACCCTGCTATGGGCAGGGACACCTTACGCTAAATCATATCACCCAAGGCCTCGTCCAACCTGGCCTTGAACACTGCCAGGTTCACAACTTCCCTGGGCAACCCATTCCAGTGCCTCACCACCCTCACAGGAAAGATCTTCCTTCTTATATCCAATCTAAACTTCCCCTGTTTAAGTTTTAACCCGTTACCCCTCGTCCTATCACTACAGTCCCTAACAAAGAGTCCCTCCCCAGCATCCCTATAGGCCCCCTTCAGATACTGGAAGGCTGCTATGAGGTCTCCACGTAGCATTCTCTTCTCCAGGTTGAACAGCCCGAACTTCCTCAGCCTGTCTTCATACGGGAGGTGCTCCAGTCCCCTGATCATCCTTGTGGCCCTTCTCTGGACTTGTTCCAACAGTTCCATGACCTCAGAGCAGCTTTCCAGCCTAGCAAATAAACAGCACTTTACGTTTACCTAATGGAAGAGAGTAGACTGGTTTGGCCATGCAACAACAAACAAGACAAAGAGATAAGAAGGGAAAGAGCTACTAAGAGCTCCAAGAAAGAAAATGGAAATTTCAACTTTTTTTCCTATATTGAGGTAGCAAGGAGATAACTTCGTGTCCATGGGACTGAACAAGTGGAAAAATTAAGACAAGGAGACGGTTAGTTGCAATTTCATGGTGGGTTATAACAATAATAGTAATTGCCCTTGCTGCAACTGACTTTTATTGCAAGATAGCACAGACAATCTGGCAGAAGGAAGCATACAGGAAACTCCTAATATACATATTGCCTTAACATTTCCAACTGTTTCAGTGACTTTTTCCTGATCTATGGGAACCCTTTCCCTCCTAAGAAAACTAATGAAAGTGGTTTCATACAGCTTGCTTGTTGTTAGCAGCTGACAGTGTTTACCTTCCTTTTTCGTTTTCCAAACAGTAAGTAAATAGTCATAATTAAACAAAAGACCTGGTGCATAAAGCAAGAGCATGCTGAAGTCAACAAGGACACAAAAAAGGTAATAAAAAGAGTGTGGCTCACAGTGCAATTATGGAACCACCAGGCCAAAATATCTGGATCCCATCCCTGATCTTATTCTTTGCAATTCTCTTAGATACTCGTATTTTTAAGAAAATCCAGTGAAATGCCATCTTTTCTAAACCATCTTAATAAACAGTTATTAGTTACTCGGTTTGGGGGTTTTATATCACCAAATCTCAACCTAAGTGTTAATTCACTAATGGTTTTACAGGAAAAGCTAATTAAGCAGCTTTTTTAATGCATTCTTGGTCAGTAGTATTGCTGGTATTTAATGTTAGTTTGCCATACATCTGATTAGTAGAAGGCAAGAAAACGATCTCCCTATCATGGACAAGCCAATGATTGTGCCAGACACCATGTTTGCCACTTGCTCCAAAAGCAGTGTTTTATTGTCATAGAACAATTCAAATAGCAAAATATGATACAAAAAACTTCAGAATTTACACAGACTAGAAGACCAAATACAGTTATAAAAGCATAAAATAAAGCTTTTCTAAGGCACGGTTGTATTCTGATCAACACGGACAAGGAGGTATCTTTCTAGTGAAATTTATCCCACTGAAGCAACTGGTGGTGTGGTGGAGGTAGAGATGGAGATTTTGATGCTCTAGAAGGCCAGGGAGTCCTTCACCATACGGCAACCCCAGCACCCTGGTAACAGGAGACCTGACAGGGACAGCAGCTGTTGTCATTCTCCATACAACTGCAGCTTTTTCAAGCACGCACACATGCCTTCTGTCTTCATAAAACAACAGAATGGTTTAGGTTGAAAGGGACCTTAAAGTCCATCCAGGTCCAACCCCTTTGCCATGGGCGGGGACACCGTCCACTACCGCAGGTTGCTCAAAGCCCTGTTTCAACCTGGCCTTGAACACTGCCATAAATGAGGAAACTTTCTGCAAGTTCTCCACCTTCTTACCCCATCTCTTTCTCGAAGCTCATGTGTTCATCTCCTTTCTCCGTTATCACACCGGCCCAAGAGCCCTGACCCGAGCACAGCTATTGCACGCCCCATGGCTGCCGCAGCTGTCCATTCTTGGCA